CCTGCGTTCCGCTGTCCCCGGCGGCGCAGCGGCGGCGTCCGGGCCCCGGCGGCTGGGCGGCACGCGGGTGCGGCGCTTGGCGATCTGATAGATGCGCACGTAGACCAGGATCATGATGAGGCAGGGCGCGAAGAAGGAGCCGATGCAGGACGAGATGACGTACCACTTCTGGTCGTTGATCTCGCAGCGCGGCTCGGCGGGCTGCGGGCCGGCGCCGCCGCCCTTCTTCTCGATGGAGATGAGCGGCGGGAAGGAGATGACGGCCGAGATGACCCACACGGTGACGATGATAGCTTTGATCCGGCGTGGCGTGCGCTTCAGGTTGTACTCGATGGCCTGCGTGATGGACCAGTAGCGGTCCAGGCTGATGGCGCACAGGTGCACGATGGACGACGTGCAGAACAGCACGTCGAGCGCCAGGTAGATCTCGCACCACGCCTTGCCGAAGTACCAGTAGCCCATGACCTCGTTAGCCAACGAAAAGGGGATGACGAGCGTGGCCACCAGGATGTCGGCCGAGGCCAGCGACACCAGGAAGAGGTTCTGGGGCGCCTTGAGCGCGCGGCTTGTGAACACCGCGATGATGACAAGCACGTTGCCAAACACGGTGAGCAGCATGAGCAGGCCCGCCAGGCACACCAGCGTCAGCGTCACCTGCAGAGAGTAAGGGGTGGCCCAGGCGCCACCCCCAGGTGCCTCGGTCCCGTTCCAGCTGGCGTTGCCCGCGTCCGGCTGCAGGGAGCCCATGGGCGCGAAGCTGCCCTCGGCCAGTGGCTGCTCCTGGCGGAACATGAACGCGGCGCCGCTCGCCTGGGCCTGCTGCCAGCTGCCTTCCGGCCGGCGCCCGTAGGTCCTCCTCTTCCTCCCGCGCCCCGCACGCCCAGCCGCGCTCACATGGGGAGGGGGCTGCAGGGAGGCCTGGCCGGAGCAGGGGGTGCCTAGCAGGCCATAGTCCGGCTCCCGCGAACAGCGCCCAGCCCGCGCCTCGGGCGCTCGGCTGGCGCCTTCTGGCTCCCGGATACTAGGAGCACCGCCAAGTTTTATTCTAAGCGGCGGGAGAGTAGCGCGAGCCGGTAGGGAGAGGTTTATTCCTCAAGAAAGAAGAACAAAAAGGAGCAGTGGCCTGATTACTTGGAAGGATGGCAGGAAATTAAAAATATATGTAACTGTATCTATCTATGTCTTGACGCCTGAGCCTGAGCGAAAGCGAGAGGTCTTACCGTGTGCCGGCCCGCCCCACCCCGGGAGCAGCCGAAGGTGCCTGGCGCCAGCTCGGTCCTAGGGCTGTCTGCTTACATCCCCAACGATTACCGACTCTCGCCTCCCCCAGACTCGGCGGGGCCGGCCGGGCCCGGGCGCGCACTCTGCCGCCTCTCGGAGCGTCGCCGGACTTCCCAAGTTGCGCGCCTGCTGGGGCCGGGGCACAGCGCG